AAAAAAAGAAGAAAAGACAGAAGAAAAAAAAGAAGAAAAGACGAAAGAAAAGATAAAAAAAAAGATAGAAGAAAAAAAGAAAGAAAAGATAGAAGAAAGACAAAAAAAAAATAGAAGAAAAAATAGAAGAAAAGATAGAAGAAAAAATAGATGAAAAAACAGATGAAAAAATAGATGAAAAAACAGATGAAAAAACAGATGAAAAGATGAAAAAAAAAAACAGAAAAAAGGACAAAAAAAAGATAGAAGAAAAGACAGAAAAAAAGATGGAAGAAAAAACAGAAAAAGAAAATTCTAAAGTGAACAAAAAATTAAAGTTGAAAAAAAAATCAAAAACGAAAAAAAAAAAGTGCGAAAAAAAGAAAAAAAAAAGTGCGAAAGAAAAAGATAAGAAAAGAAGCAAGCAAAACTACAAAGAAAGCAAAATAGCAAAAAAAGCAAAGCAGCAAAGAAAAGAAAACAAAGCGGCAAAGAAAAGCAAAGCAGCAAAGAAAAACAAAGCATAAAGAAAAGTAAAGAAAAGCAACATAGCAAAGAATAACAAAGTGGCAGAATAGCAAAGCAGCAAAGAAAAGCAAAATGGCAAAGAAAAGCAAAGCAGCAAAAAAAAGTAAAGCAGCAAAGAAAAAGCAAAGTAGCAAAGAAAAGTAAAGCGGCAAAGCGTCAAACAAAAACAAAAAGTGCGATTATCAATTGTTTATATGTGATCGGCAATCTCAAAAATGATTGGCAGATCATCTATAAGAGCATAGTTGCTAAATAAATTGAAATAATTTGATTTATTTAGTGACTCATTGCACTGCGTCCCTTATATGATTGGCAATCTCAAAAATGATTAGCTAATCATTAAGGGTATAGTGCAATGGGTCGCTAAATAAATCGAATTATTTCAAATTAATTCGATTTATTTAGCGATCCGTTGTACTGCAACCCTCATATGATCGGCTAATCATTTTTGAGATTGCCAATTATATAAAGGATGCAGTGCAACGAGTCGCTAAATAAATCGAATTAATTCGAATTATTTCAAATTAATTTAAGTTTACATTAATCACTTCAACCCTCTTCATAATTATTCTATTAACTTATTTAATATATTTATTTCGAACTTCAAAATATTTTTTTCGTAATAATGCTCAAATTATTGTGAAATATAGCACAATATCTTACGTAATATTTCGTAATAATAGGGTGTGGCGACTTAGTGAAGTGGTGAAGTTGTCGCACCCCCAAGCGGTTGAGTACAAGTTCAATTCCCA